AATCAGTCATAATTGAATATTGGAAACGTTTTTCCTTGGTTATTGTCAAACAATGACCCCTCTGCTTATAATAATAACATTTTCAAATTTGATGACAGCAAGAAATGTACTTCAGAGTCAGAAGTAATAAAACTGAAATCTTTCAACCTAATGTCTAGACATTATGCTTACTATTATTAAATTTCTTCTAGTATAAAAACAAATCTTAAGACTTGAAAAAGTCCCAATTAACTGACTCTTCAGAGAAATCTTTTGGTACTTGAATAATTATACACTTAGGAAATTTAAAACTTCCGTAGCTTCTCCATCGGAATTCTAAATCTTCTCAATTTCTAGTTCAAATTGGTTGAAAGACATGGGAAGCTAATTATAATTGAACAGTTGTAATATAAAGTTATTTTTAGTGACTTTTTTCATCTAATATCGCCTTTGAAGCGAAATATCATTTCTCTTTTTACTATTTCGATTTTTGATGTACACTGGTTTTGGATCCTTTCACGCAATTTGTCACCGTGTTTCTGATTATATTTTCTAATGGTTTGCTCCTAGCTGAGTATGGAATGGATTTAAATGTTTTATTCTTATTTTAAAATATCATCACCAGTTGTAGCGCATAAATGGATTAGGTCGGGAATGCATTTTACTTTGTGTTTAATCATTATACATATATATACAGGCAAGTAGTATATGTATATATCTATTTTTCCATGTAATAATTATCTTATTTGAATTTTTTTTAAAATTTATGATAAAGCTTAAACTGCTAAAGCTTAATTGCCTATGTGGCTCCTAATAGTTTTCAAATTTTATTAAAGAATCTAATGTCCAGAAATCGTGCGTTTAAATGAAGTGTTTAAACATCCTAAAGAAATGAAGATGATGTTGTTGAAATTACCACCAAGGTACGCTATTTTATATGCACTGAAATGTAAAATAAAGTACCTTAAGTAAGGCAAATAAGATTACGTAAGATACAAATCATAATCTCTTCCATATTTACTTTCTTTAGGCAATCAAATTTTTATGCACTGAAAAATAATGCAATTTACCAAAGTAATGTAATTTATTGAATAAAATCAGATACACCAATATCAATAATTTAAAGAAATGAAAAAATAAGCTGACCATTGTCTTTCATTATTTCTTATTTATTTTTTACTCTCTCTTTACTGCTATTCTGTATAGAGTTTTACTGTTTGATAGTTATATTAGAACGAATGCTGATTGTTTCCTACGGTAATATGAGAGATACACATTGAAAGGTAAACATATAGTTATCTGATAGCAAGAAATAAAAGTTTTTAAAATAACATTTGAAATTCCTAATTAATTTGGTCAAAACCCTATGTAGAACGTTTGTTATACTAATTATAATCTTAATAGCATACTTGTCTTTTAATAACCTGAAACGTAGCGAGAATTTTTAAAAATTCTCGTTAAAGTATTACTTACTGTCAATTTAAATATAAAAGGTTTTTTTTTTAATCTGAAATATTCATGCTGAGTTTGAGACAACATTTGCCTACATGGCTTATTTTACATTAGTTAAACTGAAGAGGCTTGAAAATGTCGCCATAAAAGACATAATGGGTACGTCAGACGTTTTTATGAGTAAACGATGATGGCATCAGAGGCAGTAATCTTGGTGTACAAAAGAATTAGCTGTCTTTTCAATGCGTTAATTACTTAATTATTTGTCTTTTATTTTTATTTACGCTTGGGAAAAAATTATTTTATAAAGATATTGCACGACATCTTTCATTTTGTTTTTCGAGTATTGTCTGCAACAAATTTTATCTCATATAAAAAGTTATGATCTGAGAAAATAAATCGCGTTTTTCCGTTGAATAATTAAGCTTTAATTTTCTAAATAGGTAGTCTCAGACAAAAAATACGCATGAACAATTTCATTCCAAATGTTCTGTCGTTTTCTGGAAATTGTTTTCACCATTAAACGGTTCACCTTGAGTAAGAAGTAAGCTTTCAGCGTTTGAATTTATCATGTTTAGGGTAATTCCTTGTAAAATATTCACTAAAATTAGCAATTTTATGGTTATTTGTTTGAAAATAGCAAATTTGCCAAATGAAGAATTTGTAGGATATTGCATGCTACAGTGTGATAGAAATGTCACGGACATCACAGTAAGAAAAGTTTGCTGATTTAATACACAAATTACAAGACATCCAATACCCCTTACTAGTGTTCACCACCTACATCATATAAATGGAACATCAAACTATGTCTGTACTTTTCACCCTGTTTGAAAATACCTTGTGGAGCACCTGTACATTGATGCTGTTAACTGCCGTTCTAATGTTCCTCGTTTGGTCTGCCAGTGTATGCCAGAAATTCCTTAAAAAATTGTGACTGTTAAATTTGCGTAGATCTTTAAGTTACTGTCATGCAAAAAGGCAATATTTTGGCGGGTGAACGCGGAAGCCATAATCTTTTTCAAAGATACGGTATGTGTATGAACAGATGGTGCGTATGCTCGCTGTTAATAATCTAAAGTGCTATATACAGATGATGCAATTATAACAGTAGCAATCCAATTTATAGTATAGGTTTATTCGATGCCCGTCTGTTTTCGATCTCTTTGTGTAAAATTTCAACAAATGGACAAACGAGAAAGATTTCAGCGGGAAACATTAATGATGTGCAATAAAACGTTGTACATGTAATAAAATGCAAGAAGAGATTTAATAAAAAATATTAAAAACAATTCATGATGTACAAGATGATATCGATAAGGATTTGGACTGCAAAAAAACTCAACTTTTCAAATGTAATATAGAAATATGGTTCCGAAATAGGTAAAATATACAAAACGACGTGACTTGTTTTGCCTACTAACTCTCAATGCTGGGTTTTTCTTAGAAAATCCCATCCCCTTGTGCATAAATACCCTTTGGAAAAACATTGGGGAATTAAACAAGGATGCTCAAAGAATAAAAATATCGCATTATCAGTCTTTTGCTTCATTATTTGGGTAAAGTTTATCAATGAACGAGACGTGCGAGTCGAAATTTAATCTTGTATTTATACTTAATTTGCCCCGGAACTGTACAGTTCACTTATGGTTGTTTCTTGGGCGGTTACACATATTGTTGAACAGATTAAATAAATCTTAACGTCTACTTCATTTTTTGTTAGCTTGTAATTTAAAACTTGACTTCGCCTTTTGAGTTTTTCTTTTGTTGATAGTGAAACACTAATGATTCGTTTAGTATTAAAAAAATTAAAAAGAGTTTAAAATTCTGAATGTTATTGTAAAGGATTTAAGACAGACCGTTCTAGCTAACTCTAATATACTAGTTGAATATTGGCATAAAAAGAACTTATTTTAAAATATTAACTTCGTGCCTTTCATTCTGAGGAAACTGATGTAAAAGATATATTTTAGAAAGGTATGTTTCTTGCTAAGAAATTTTGAATGTAAAGTTGCTAAACGCTTCAAGCGTGAAGAACGAGAAATACGTGACAGCAATCAATTTAAACACTGAAATTGGAACACCAAAATCAATCATATTAAGGAGAGGGAGCAATGTTTATTCTGGGAATAAAAATTATTTGCAAACACCTATCCTATAGCCCTATCGTAAAATTTAATGTGTTGAAACCACTCGATCTAATTGATAAAGAAGAGTAAAAGTAATAATAAAGCATAAAGTAGCATTAAATCCCATTAATTTTGAAATTTCACGTATATTGTAGGAATGTGATGAGAGCAATAATCTGTCAAAGTATTACCGGACAGCTGGTCTGTCGGCTACACTTAATTTATAGTAGCGTATAGAGTTCTGCTTGAGCCCTCGAATAAGCTTTTCTTGCATTTACATTTCATTGAATTAATAAAAGATATGCGATTATTAAAAGCTGGTTAATTTATTTAACAATCATAATAAAGCACGCGAGGTTATTTATTTTAGGAAGTATGCTTTGGTGGTGAGAACTATCTTGTATTCAACATAGAGCCAACCCGTTGGCTATGAACTTTACCAGGACAATAGCTACTAGCGTTAACCACTCGGCCACTTGTAGCCACGACCAGTAACCTGAAAATTACGAACAGAGAACATTCATTTTAAAGGTGAAGAAAAGGAAGATGAAGCTGAAATATATATTGAATTCAAACTAATGATGGGAATACTTAAAGGTAATTTCAGGAAATTCAAACAGTTTCACCATGAAAACAACCATGTTTAGTTTAATGTCATTTTTGCGATCTACAAATTAGCGTAAATTAAGAATTGTGATCGGTTTTAAGATGTTAATAAATTGTAGCAGCACATTATTGCGCATTTTAGATAACGAAATTATATCTAGTATTAAAGTATGAGATATTTTCTATTATACCGTATTCCGAACAAGTTTCTGTTGAAAAGATATGAATGCCAACTTTTCTTTAGCTACCGTTAAATTAAAAGAATTTGTCCTATCTCTTATCACAGTGTTTTTATTTTCAGAGTAACGCGGTTTCTCAATGGGCATCAAAAGTGCATCGGCTATTAAAGATATCGATAGACACACAGACATAAACTGAGACAGATATAAAAATTATGTGTTAGAATTTTATTTTTTTTAAACTTTCGGCACATATACCAGCTGTAATGGCTACGAATTAGAATGTCGTGTTGATTGGATATTTTTCTTTTCCTGTATTGAAGCCATTGTTGGCATGCAAGTAACAATGATATCGAACGTTTGAGGTAAAAGCATATTAAGTAGCTGTGCACGTGTAAATACGTACATTATAAAGATTTATTTTTTTAGCTTATTTATACTTTCATTGCCTTTAGAGAGGTTAATTATTAAAATAGCCAAATTATGATAATATGCTTAATTGTTTAGTCGGTTTATCTCTCGTATTGTTCTTATTACAGTAGTAAACTATTTGATGTATAATCAGGTACTTTAATAATATTTATATTGGAAATTCATCATTTATTTTACAATAACATTTTGAAATATCTATTCATATCATTTCTTTGTTTTCCAGTCAAGTGATCCTGATCTTTTGTTTCAAGTCATTCAGGAGCTTACTACTCTTGAAAAGACTCCTTATTCTGATCCTCAAACAGCAGAAGCATTTGAAAATTGTTTGGAAACTGTTCTAGCAGCCCCCAAAATCGATAGCAGCAATAGTAAGTTATTAGCTTTCAATATCGGAATGCATGGAATATCGGAATGCATCGGAATGCATGTAGGAACGAAATGTATTGTCCTCTTTCAATTATTAAGAACATTTATTATTTTCCGTTCAGGCTATAAGCGAAATGTTGCAGCTTTGTTAGCTTAACAGAGATAACAGTATTTAAATATTACAGTTTGTGTTTGTAAGTTGATTATTATCCGTAAATATTGATATGCAAGGTAGAAAGCATACCAAAGTATTCTTTGAGAGAAACAAACCTTGAATATTTTATAAATAAAAATGAAATACTGATATCTCCTTCCAATAGATTATCACCGAATGACAGTAAATAATTTTAATTATGTATCTACTTTTGTAATAAAATTGATTTTATTTTAAACAAGTTACTATTTAAGGATACTATAAGTTATTACAATTCGTTATGGGTATAGAATTCTGAATTTATAAATGCTTAAAATAGTTGAAAGTTAATAAAAAATCTATAGCTTCAAAGCGTGATATGTCAGCAATTAGAGTTCAAATTCGTGAAAATTTTCTTTCTTCTAAATCATTATCTTTACAATATTTACGGTGTTTTTGTGCTCTGTGACTGTAATAGTGGATTCTTATACTTAGTTTATTGACTTTAAAAACTCACATTTATTTAACACAAAACTGGAATTTTTTTCTATTTTTAACCATAAAATATACAGAAAGGTAAAACCTCACTAGTAGTGTAGACTGAAGATAAAAGCCAATACTTCAACATATACCCATATAAGATTGTCGTAAGCATTTTGTCCTTTCCTATGACTTAAAAAGTTTACGAAACGACATTTAGGAGAATCACGCATTGCATGAGTTTGACGACATTTCTGTGCCACTGTAATTCAGTGCTCTTCAATCGAAAATCAAAATGCCAATGCCGTTAAAGTAAATGCTAAAGTTAATGTCTTCAAAATAGAATAGGAGACTTGTGTAATAGATTGCAAATCTATAGTCTATTATTTTAAAACAGGCACTTCAGGATCGTAAAGTCTTTTCCCTAAATTACGATGTTTGTGAGTTGTAAATGAGATTTCACAGCTGATAAATACTATCTCTTTATTTTGCTGAATTAAATATATACTTCTTTTATTCAAAGATGTATAAGTAATGCGCGTCATCATCTTTGCATACAGAGAATTCGAGATTTTACCAAACTAGGGAATTCGACCTTTTCGCTACAGCAGTCTTTATCATGATTATGAGGCAGGTTCGGGAGAGGAAAATGGCCTTGAAGCACCTATTCTAAAGTAACAGACTATAGTGCAAGATGTTCATATGTGTTGGAAACCTTGTAAAGAAGGAAAAGTATGATTTATTTATCATAAAATCTAATAGGAGAGCGATCTAGTGAGAAGCTTCTGTATACTTACACAAACGCAATACAACTCTTTCAACCGCCCAACCCGTATGGTGGTTAGCGTCGCTAACTGCCGTGCCCGAAGGATCTGGATTCGAATCCGAGAGAAGGAAGGGATGTTTGTATAGTGTCTGTGCGGCATGGGGGTACTCTAAATATGCGGCGAACCGAAAATCCTCTGAAGAAGTTGTAGGTAGGGGAAGAAGGGTGAGAAACCCTCGTACCCGTCCCCACGGGGTGCTCTCCATCAAAATTGGGGGCGGAACTGAGACAAGTGAGCATTAATCAACAAAAACAACAACAATTATTTGATAAGATACAGTGCTTCATTTACTTTGAAATTTACGCATTTTCCATCCATTCGGGCTTAATTTAACTGCGAAGTGGAAAATTTTATTTAAGAAACCATTCTTTTATCATAATTCTCTCTACACATCCTCTATCTTTTTTCATTCGGTCTTCGCATAATGCAGATTAGGATGATCGCTTAGCTAAATTAGAGAGTTGGATTGGCAGCACCTGCGCTTTTGGTTTATGCAACAAAATTTACTAGCCCTTGAAGCTAGTTAGTCATCTGGCTTGGGGAAGAAATTTGAGTGATTTATTAAGCTGTTAAAAGTTAGTATATATATATATATGCTTTTAAATACTTTATTTATGATTCAGATAGTACAAGGACATTTGAACGACGTGTATTAATTCTGAATTTTAGTTGTATATTTGGAAGTCTACAGAAATAAATCAGCAGTAATCCGTAGCAATAGATATTTAGTTCAACTTGTGAAAGCTCTACTGCAGATACTATTTAGAGTGTGGATTAGCCTGAGAAAAATAAAGTTTGGGCAGTTGTTAAAAGCTAAGTTAAGATGAACTCTCTAGGATTATTTAATATAGCAAAGCATATTTGTGCTACTAGCCTATAGGAAATAATGCATTCTTTAAAGACATTCGAAGGAAAGCAAGTCCATATTTACCTAATACATTTTTTTGTGGGGGACTCTAAGCGGAATGAGAGGCATGCAACTTGGAGGGTTGTTAAAGGACACTGGCTTGTACTCACATTACCTATAAGGGGAACCACGAACCCCCCTCGAAGCGAACCGGGACTCAAGCAGCACTACCAAGTTCAGCGGGCTTTACCCCTCGACCGCTGATGGGCTTTACCTTTCTTAAATTTTAATTTTGAGAAAGTTAGCCCACTGAATTGCTGGAAATTCAACTTCCGTTGAACAACCAGTATTCTCCGTTTTAGTTATTCAGTCATTAGTCTGTGTTTCATCCACTCATAATTTGATAAGATATACCTAATATCAATGCGCCAAGAAAATTATTTTTTGAATAACCATTTGTGAGTTGTGAATGATATTTCGCAACTGATAAATGGTATCACTTCATTTTGGTACACCATAAATGTTATCACTTCATTTTCACAAAAATGTTTTGAAATCCAGTTATTATTTGAATTCCCTTTGACTCAAAATCTCTCATGTTTCACGTTTCATGTACAACCAATTGCTCGCGGAAACATCACCTCCTATCAACAAACCATTTAAGGATTGTTCAAGAAATGTAAATAAATTCTCGTTATTATGTGGACAAATTTCTACACACATGTTGAAATGATAAAAAGTTATGTCATCAAAACTGGCGAAATTTCAAACCTGGAGAGTGGAAGAATAGTTTTAAATCTAAATCCTGAAAGATTCTTGCGAAATTACTTTAACACGTTTTGCTTCGCCAACGATTTCATGAGCTACTCAGAAAATCAGACTTGAACTGAAGTGGTCTTTTTGTTGAGTTCTTATTTAAAATGCAGCGGTCAACCTATAAAAATAATCTTACTGTTATTTTTGATTAAGAAAGAAATTAAAAACAATATATCGGTTTATAAATTGTGCTTTAGTATTAAATCAGACTTTGCTATAAGAAAAATATCGTAGCTCTTATGTTTTTAGAATTAAAGAATTTTTGCTGCTAATAATACTAAAATAAAGGCTGCAAGTAACAGTTAGACATCATGGGATCGACAGAATGCGGTAATTCTTGTTCTGTTAAAAACACAAATATTAATCCAGATGAAAGATGTGAAATAAAAGGAACACATAGAGCTTTTTATCCCTGAATTTCCGTATCTTTGTTAAAATGTTCATTATTTTGTGATTGTCTGTGTATTAAAAGTAATTATATTATTAGCCAAAATATAAAATCGATGTTTTTTTGTTTTATGCATGCATTTAGACCGCTTATTAGATGCATTTAAACCGCTTATTAGATGCATGCGTTTCTTATCTTATACATAAAAAATTCAGTCCTTGTCTCTGATGTCAAGAAACCTTCCAAATAAGTTTCAAATGAAAAGTTCAGTGTATTTTCTTTCAAATGCATTTATAATCAACGACAAATAAATGTTCAGTTTTACTTATTACAGCTTCAGTTGTTGTGCATCTTTATATCTATTATAAGTCGTACCATGCGCATGTGTGTAATATCGATTTCGTTATTTTTAATCTTCATCACTCAAAATAAAAGCAAGCAGTTTAATATGAGCGGGATATAAAGAATGTTACTAGATTTTAAACAGGATCTTTGAGCAGAATGAATTTCTATATAAATTGTAATTGAGACGTTCAATAATTAAAATACTACGATGTAATTTTGTGTTATGCGTTGTGTGAAATAAAGATCATAATTTTTTTCATTAGTTGTAAAGCTATGTTAAGTTATTTATTGTAATCTAAAAAATAAACTATGTGAAAGAATGTTTTTTAACTATTAAGAAATCTAGCATTTCTTACGGAAAAGCACCGAATATACTGTTAAGAGAAATATTATCTGTATGCAGAAAAGATCAATGAATGTATGTGTTACTGAAACGTAAAAATATTATACTGAAAACGCTTTTTTACGAAATTTTATTTCTAATAGAAATTGTGTTTTAGACATTACTCAACACGCAACCTCATTTCTATTCTTACAATTCCTTCTTTCATTGAAAAGAAATCCGAATCTCACCAAGAAACAGAATTCGGTTAAACAGCCTTTCGGCTGTTCTGTGGAAAGTTGATTAAATCTTAAGGTCGATTTATGGGTCGAAAAACCTACGATTTTTCGACTGCTTTTCGTCGGGGCTTTCTCTGCGTCGAAACGAGAAAAAAATACTACGATTACATCCGGTGGTTGTCCTTCCTTTTATGTTATTTCAATTTCCGTGAAGCAAAAAACGTTATTGCCCGTAATGGGAGGAATATCAGTTTTGCTTTTTATTCTTTATTTTGCTACTTTTGCTTCTTTCGATGTAGGAAAATGAAATTTCAACTATGGCGAGATTTATATACCTAGACATTGTACTTCTTAAGCCTTATTCTTTGCTTTGTTGCAAATGTAAAATAAAGAAGAAAATACATTTTATAAATCTTAATTTAATAGTTCAGAAATTTTTCTTTTGTCTCAACCGAGAAGTGGATATATACTCGTTAATTAAATTTTCTGTCTGTGAAGTTAAGTGTATCTATCTCTGAAGTCTGTGAATAGAGTGCAATTTGGAGTTAAAAGTACAGCAGTAAATTCAGATGAATTTTATTTTTCATAACATACTGGCAAAGAGG